TATATCCTAGAACCAGAATACAGGAGGAGTCCAGTGAGGTTACAAAAAAGTCAATAGTAATAGTTTCACCAGAGGGGAATGTAATCGGGATGGAGAGGGTTTCAGTAATCATGTTGCCATAGGAGCCATCAATCAGTTTGAGCTTAACCAGATTGATCAGAGAAGGGAGTAAATTATTAGAATGGATAAAATGGGTATCAACAAAACAATGGCTAGAGCCAGAGTCAATTAACGTTAGTGACTTAAGGTCGGGTCATGGTCAGAGTTGTGATCAGAGTGATCATCAGGGTGGGGGTCAAAATCATCGCCATCATCATCAGGGTCAGGTTCACCACCAGGGGAACCAGGAGCAGGAGGTGGCAAGGGTTGGGACTGGTTTGTCTCATTGATGAGGGTCCTGAGGGTAAGGGAGTCAGGGTGCTGAGGTGGGATGGAGGTTGTGTGTTTGGACAGTCAGGGTAGTCTCTGACATTCTGAATCATGATGGTGGGGGATTCATTCTGTCCAGCTGCATGGGAGTTGGCAGTAGTATGGGATGTTGTAGTGGCTATGGTTGGGAGTCCAGAAGCAGTATGAGTTCATATATACTGTTAAGTTCTTGATGATCTAAATGAAGGGAAGGGCAGAGGGGATCCATGTTGGAGCTACATCAGAGTATGTCAGTGTCAGAGTTGGTCTTAGCATAACATATGTAATGTAGGGTTGAGACTTCAGCTTCAACATATGTGTTGCACTCCGTTGTCTGGACATTGTCTCGAATTTTGGAGTCAGATTGGAATGAGAGAGCAGAGTAGAGAGCATGGATTAATTAATGAACAATATATGAACTAAGGTACCTAATAATAGTTCTAAGGTTTTTATACTATGGAGGAAACTAAGTGGAGACCATACGTGTACTAGTGAGCAGGCAGATGTGTGAGTTATTCTGCACTACTCAGAGTTGTCTAGCTATGTGTAATCTAAGTGTCTATATGTTCCGGGACTTGTAGTATTTCGAGAAGATCATGAGGTCAGAGTTCATATAGTCAGAGATTGGAGTTGGTCAGAGGTGCATATATAACATCTGCTATACATTAGTTAGTGCAAATTTGATATTGCATCTGTACAATTAGTACTGATGTCTTTAGAACATTTCTGTTTTTTTATACCAAGCTTTGCTATATAGTAGTATTGCCGATATAACTGTTTTATGGTTTTACTTAATGCTAGTTCATACATCTATTACTGCTATAGATACTGAAATGCATAATCAAGTTATCTATTGGCTAATCAATACTATATAGCCTGCTATGCAGTATACTTTTACTAGTAGTAAGTAGAGTTCTAATCAACACCAGTTTAGTCATATATTTTATTCATTTAAGAAGAATCCTATAATAGTCATATTAACATTTACCAGTTTATGCTTTGCTTTACTCTAATGCAGTATTTCACTATTTCTGTCTTGCTATCCTAGTAAAGTAACTAATTCTCATACAAGGTATAGCATTTGAGGACTAATGTATTTTCTTTAGTACTATAAAGTGTCTTCTCAATAGCTTGTATAGTTGATCTGCAGTAGTATAATATATTTCTCATTGAATAATAGCATTTGCAAGTAACATATTCTATTTATCAAGAACTAATTTCAAGCCTCTTCTACCCATAGCTTTGAACTATAATATATATTATAGGCCTCTACTAAACCACCATATACTAAAGATGAATATGAAATTACACCTCACATATAGAGACAGCTGCTTTATGTGAATTCTACAAAAGATAATAGCAGGAAAATATTAATTATATCCTTTAGATGTACCCAGGAATATTCTAATGTACTACTAGTTGATACTGCACAAGCTTAGATAGATCCTCATATATCAATGTCTATTTTTCTCTACAATGCAGAGGCCAAACTATAACAAAGTACATATCAGCAGATTTAGTTTGAGCCCTAGATTCTATATATATCATCAGACTTGAGGGAACAAATGAATTAAAAGCAAAAGAAGTAAAATAATCCAAGTTTGATAAGAAATCTATTAATAACACTCATGCCTATGATAGTAATACTAGTTGTTGAATTATTACATAGCTTATACTAGCTTAATAGACACATATGTAGTATCAATAGATTGGTATTGAACTATAGAATCTATATTTGTGCTTAGAATTAGAGAAGACAGTAAACTACAAGTACAGAATTGTTGCTTGATGGAAAATCTATTAATAACACTTACACCTATGGTACTTTAGAGGCTCATCCAAATGTTTAAAACTGCATCCATCCCTTGCAGAGCTCTTTTGGCTATAAAAAGCACTCTATCTGCTTTGTAATTATATCTAGAAACAAAATATACATTTAGCTTTCTAAAATCCCTAAAAAAAACATGCAAATGATAAAATACATATCTGATGAGCAGATAGTGAGCTTTTACTGCTTTTAAATTGATAGATAATGAGATAAGAGATAAGAGATAGATAAGATAACAAGATAAGATATGAGATGCAGATAAGATAAATAGATAAGATAAGCAGATAAGATATACAATTAGATAAGCAGTGAGATATAGATAAGATAAAATAATTAGATAGGATAAAGTAGATTAGATTAAATATTAATATTAATTATATATAAGCATTAATTAGATGTAAAATTTTGTCCAATATTATTTGTCTAGACATTAAAGCCAACTAGATACAAAGACATAACAATATAGATAATCTGAAGTGAACTATTGAGGAAACTATTGAGGAAATTGTTGAGGCAATTCTTGGGGCAACTGTTGAGGAAACTATTGAGGAAATTGTTGAGGCAATTCTTGGGGCAACTGTTGAGGAAACTGTTGGGGTAATTCTTGAGGCAACTGTTGGGGAAACTGTTGAGGAAATTGTTGAGGCAATTCTTGGGGCAACTGTTGAGGCAACTGTTGGGGTAATTCTTGAGGCAACTGTTGGGGTAACTGTTGAGGAAATTGTTGAGGCAACTGTTGGGGAAACTGTTGGAGAAATTGTTTAGGCAACTATTAGAGAAATTATTGAGAAAACTGTTTATCCAATTGTTTGGAAAATTGTTTCTCAGAAAACTCTTTAAAAAAACTAATGAAAAACTCTGTCCTACATCTGTATTTGATACTTGACTTGTTTACCAAACAATTGCTAAATTATTGCTAGTACAATTGCCCTAAGAATTGCCTGAAGAGTTGCCTGAAGAGTTGCCCAAAGCATTGCTAGAAGAATTGCCCAACAATTGCCCTAATAATTTCCCAAACAATTACTAGGAGAATCACCCCAACAATTACCCTACCAATTGCCTCAACAATTGCCAAAGAATTGCCAGAAAAATCTCCCCAACAATCACCAAAAGAATTGCCCCAACAATTGCCAAAAGAATTACCAGAAGAATTGCCAAAGAATTGCCCCAACAATTGCCAGAAGAGTTGCCAGGATGGTGTAATATGACAGAAAATATTCATTTTAAACACAGGAAACAGTTGCCAGAAATTCTTTCAAAAGAAACAGTTTTACCCCAGAAAACTCTCCTAAAAACTGTTTCCTAGGGCCTCCAAGGCTAATAGTTTGACATGCAAAAATTAGCCTTAGAGGCCCCCAAAAGGGTGTCCTGAAGTGTGAATAGGGAGGTTCAAAGTTAGGCTGCCGTTCGCCATTGCATTTCGCATCCCCACATTTGATGGGATTATATAAGTTTTTTTAAAGTCCGCAATGTCACATCTAGCCACACCAACACTGATCACCAATAATCATGATATCTATCCATCTGTAGTTTGCTTCCTCCCCTCCTCACTATGCCTCAGCTTGGGGTACATCAGGAATATCTCAATCAGTATATTTTGTCTATGCTTATTTGCCAAATCTTTACCCCTCCAGACCAATGAACAATTGAGCAAAGACAGAGAGAAAACACTCTTGATGTAAACACTTTATTGTGGATCCTCCTCATGCGCTACCCTAATGGATGGCCACCTGTTCCCAAGCTCGGAAATATGGGAATAATTTGGGACTTTGCAGGAAATCCAGCCAACCACCATCATTTCATCAATATGATGCATGTAATGCCTCTTGTTTTCCAGACCATCCTCACCCTCATCAAAGAACATCCAGTTTTCACTGATTCTCAAGATAGGTAGAGTAAGGACAGTGGCACGTGCAGGAAGTGGAATAGGAATGAAAGAGATGTAGTAAACAAAATGCGACGGATGCGAGCAGTCACAGTTCCATCACATCGGACATTAAAAATACCCTTATATAATCCCATCAAATGCGGGGATGCAAAATGCGATGGTGAACGGCGGCCTAACTTTGAACCTCCCTAATAACAGCCAGGGAGTGACCCTGGCTAGAGGAATGCATAGAGGCATCGAGCAAACTCCCCAAGGCTTTGGTGGAGTCCGACATGATAACAATGTAGTCACAATTGTCCATGGCACAGGCCCGGACAATCACAGTACATAGGGAGCAAAGCTCTGCATCTTCCGTGAGAGCACTCCCAGCCATGTAGCGAGATGCATGCACCTCGACACCCTGGCAAAATACAAGCAAAGCTGCAATAGCCTGCTTGCTCTGGTCTGTGGGGTGACTCCTATCACTGACACAAACCAGGGTGGATGGTTCCCATTTTGAGGCTTCCTAGAAGCAGTCTAACCCTTTGCGCCAGAGCCCAACTGTCTCTTTGGGCACTGGAGTAATATCAAAGTGCATTCCATGATGTAGTTCAAGGAATCACAATCTAGGGCAAGCCTCAGGAGCAAATGGCTCCAAAGGTTCACTGACAATATGGAGTATATCATCCACATCCATAACAGTACCCTGAACTTTTGGCTTGTTGCAGGGCAGTCATATTGGGAGCAGAGTGAGGGTGAGGAATTGCTCCCTTGGAATATGAAGCACTCAAAAGGGAGCACACCAGATGAGTGTCAGAAAGTGCTGCTATATGCAGTACAGCCACTGCAGCAGCATATTTCAGAATTAAGTAAATAGGGTGTTAAAGGACAGAAAAGTGACCAGACTGGGGATTGAACCCAGGCCCTCTGGAAAGATCCCAGATGCTCTAACCACTGAGCTATCAGGTCTTACTAGGCCAATCAATTGTTGAATCTATGTCATATCTGCACTACTACTCCAGCAATGCTAATCAGAAACTGACACTTGTCCCAGGTGTAGGGCGCATACCCTAGATTTTTATTTTTTATTTTTTTTAAATCAAGGATTTATATACCGGTGTGCGAAAGCAGTCTGGTTGCAGATATACATACACCCAAAGTAATCTACCATTAAACTATGCCTAGTGTGAGACTGGCTCTCGTGGGCTGACTTGGAACCAAAAGACATTGGGCCTGTATTCTCGTTTATGCCCCAACCGAAGGGCGGGGTCAAACAAAGTAGTGGAGGGGCACTGGAAGGCACCCTTCTTTCCCACAGACCACCACCATTGCAAAACATTGATATACTCACAATGCCACAACCTTCTTCAACAACCGGTGATCTGGTACTTGGATAGTGTTTACCGCTATTCGAGTGTGTATGCACCTTTCATGCTAGATGATGTCCGAGCAATCATCGTTGTCTGCACCCAAGCGCCCCTCTCTCTCTGCCTCTGGTGGGCGTTTACTGTCTGTCAGAGCTTCAAGTACCAAGTCTCCAACCCCTGAGGGTTCTTCATCCTCTTGATCCATTTGAGAGAGATATGCTTCATCCACCCCTGCTCCTTGTGAGTGGGAGGAGGCTGAGTCTCGGTCAGCAATTCACTTGTGGGCCATTACTCCCATTGCTTCAAGGGCTTCATCCCCTGACATTTCCATGGTGGAGGATGATGAAACTATTTGCTTTCCTCTCCTAAGCGCCTCTCCAGAGCTGGAGCCTACTTCCCTTTTCCTCACAGGATCATCTGGGGACTGCGTGGCTGTGGTGGAGTCACTGAAGACCATTGGTTCATTCATGATGACCAATGGTCCTTCTACTTTATCAGGGGCTGACCACCTTGATTATGCTGGCCTTTTCACTAGAATAGTGAACTCAGTCACTACTTCCCCTTGGGCCAAAGAGGCCACGGGTGTCAGCACATGAGCACTGTCTCTTAGATGGTCTATCATCTGCAATCTTATCGATTCAGACAGTTCCCTAGCACCTAAACCGAACAAGCCCTCATATTCCACACCTAAGGTGTTCAGGCCTATTGTACTCCTGAACACTCTTGGCAAACTGGTTGAAAAGATGCTTTCCAACTGCATTCAATTCAATGCTGTCAAGCATGATATCTTTCACCCTAATCAACTCAGTGGAGTGCGTCAGCACTCCACTGAGGATGCGGGCTTGCTCCTCACACACCTGGTGCATGCAGGGTGGGCTCGCAGTTTAAAGACCAGTGTCATCGCCTTTGACGTGGCACAGTTCTTCCCTTCCCTCAATCACAAAGTATTGATTGCAATTCTCAGGAAGCAGGGCTTCCCTTCTAGCATGGTGGAATTCTTTTCATCATACCTGGTTGGCTGCTCCATGTCTTATGCCTGGAACAGCTTTCAATCTGACCCCCGACAGGCTGATGTCGGGGTTGGGCAGGGCTCTGCTTTGTCCCTGGTCCTATCAGCACTCTTCCTCGCACCAGTGCTGAAACTTTTCATGCAGAATGAGTCGGTTTCCGATACCACTCTGCTCTCTTATGTCGATGATGGCACACTTATTGTGCAGTCAAAGACACTCGATACCAATTGCACAGCCCTGAAAAGATCCTATGCAGTAATCTTCGAACTCTTCACAAAGTTCACCCTCACTCTTGAGCACGACAAGATGGAGTTATTCCATTTTGATCATTCTCATTCCGAGTTCAATCTGTCCATGGATCTAGGGTATGCTCCCTATACTCAGGACAAATGTCTGATGCCCAAGCCATTTTGGCGGTACTTGGGTTTCTTCTTCGATCAGAAGTTGACATTCCATGAACACGTCCGGTACTATTCCACAAAGTCCTTCACCACCGTTAAGGTGATGAGAATACTTGGTAACTCATCTAGGGGTCTTATGCCCATGCAAAAGTGTCTGCTTTACAGGTCTTGTGTGTTGCCTATTGCAACATATGGCCTCTGGTTGTGGTTCTTCCAAGGTGCTAAGTGCCAGGGGACCATCAAGCTACTGACCAGCATGCAGAGGCATGCTGCGCTCTGGATTACCGGTGCATTCCGCACCTCTCCTATGGGGGGGATTGAAGCCCTTGCTGCCCTGGTCCCTATCTACTTAGTCTTGAAACGTGCTGCCACAGTAGGTGTTCTGTGTATGGCGGCCCTCTCAGACACTCATTCAGTGCGCTCCCTTTTAAGCACACCCTTTTCCAAAGGAGCGAGTCCTCACCCTCGCTCTGCTGCTTTTATGATGGCCCCACAATGCGCTAAGGTGCGGGGTACTGTTATGGATGTTGATGACATGCTCTATGTTGTCAGCAAGCCTCTGGAGCCTTTTGCTCCAGAAGCTCGTCCCGGCAGGTGATTCCTTGAGGTGCATCATGGAATTCACTTTGATATTACTCCAGCGCCCAAGGATAAAGGTGGGCTCAGGCGCGAGTGGTTAGACTGCTTCTGGGAAGCCTCGAAGCGGGAACCGTCTACTCTGGTGTGTGTCGGTGACGGGAGTCGCCCCACTGATCGGAACAAGCAGGCCATTGCAGCTTTGCTTGTATTTCACCAAGGGGTCGAGGTGCATGCATCTCACTACATGGCCGGGAGTGCTCTGGCGGAGGATGCTGAGCTTTACTCTCTATGTACTGCAGTTGTCCAGGCCTGTGCCATGGATAATTGTGACTACATTGTTATCTTGTCAGATGCCTCTGTGCATTCCAGCCAAGCTCATTCCTTGGCCATTATTCATGCCCTTACAGAGTGGTGGACCAGAGGTCCTGGCTGCCACATCTCCCTTTATCATGTCCCATCCTCTTGTTAGAGTGACTCTCACATGATATGTTACATGTCACAGAGTAGTTACATTGTAGCTAAGTCCTCCTGAAGTCCTTAGTTCTTAACTCTGGACTTCAGGTGAGTAGTACATAGTTTCTCCTTGTATTTAGTGAGTTCTTAACTCTGGACTTCAGTCCTTCTAACAGGTTATGGGCCCCAGCATCTGAGACTGCAGGAATCAACTTTATTCATTTCCTTTGCACTCTAGCAGATTGCCGCTTCGCAACTTCGATACACACATGCATACACATTCCTGGCCACGCCTATGCAGATAGCTACCCAGACAAACATGCAAACTGCGTTTCTTCAATTTGACCATTTAGGACTCAATTCAACTTCGCTTCACAATGTGCCCATTCATTCTCGCACACATTCACAACTTCACATACTGAGTACTGGTATTACCGCTATTCACATTGCCTCATTTCACATCGTTCCAACTGCTGGTCCTCGAGTTATCATCGAAGATTGTCTTGCATCTCAACTCAGTGAGATCAGCACTTCATTCATCTTTGCACATAGCCCCCTGCTTTGGTGACCCAAAATGGTCTGCCTTCAGTGGCTAACACAGTACGCGCACATCCCGGGCTGTCGGGTTTGGCTGGCGGGCCCCCTTCCAGTGCCCTTCCATCACTTTGTTGGACCCCTCCCTTCAGTTGGGGCATCAACGAGAGTACGGGTCCACTGTTTGTGGTCCTAAGTTGGCCCGCGAGAGCCAGTCTTGCACTAGGCATAGTTTAATGGTAGATTACTTTGGGTGCATGTATATCTGTGACCGGACTGCTTTTGCGCACTGGTATATAAATCCTTGATTTTAAAAAAAAAAAATTTCATCTTTGCGCATTTCCTCGCCTACACCCTTGCCGCATTCTTTGTAACATGGACTATCTGTTACGGGTCACACCCTTGACGTGCCTGCTTCATTGCATCCTCATTCGATTACCTCATCATTCACAATCAACACTTATTCCTATAAAGTGTCAACTCTACTACTTTGCCTTTTTGCCTTTTCAGCCTCATTCTGCCCACTATGAACACCAACTTCACTTTTACCTTCCAAAAACTTTTTTTTTTTTTTTAAATCAAGAATTTATATACCAGTATGCGAAAGCAGTCCAGTCGCAGATATACATACACCCAAAGTAATCTACCATTAAACTATGCCTAGTGTGAGACTGGCTCTCGCGGGCCAACTTAGGACCACAAACAGTGGACCCATACTCTCATTGATGCCCCAACTGAAGGGAGGGGTCCAACAAAGTAATGGAAGGGCACTGGAAGGGGGCCCGCCAGCCAAACCCGACAGCCCGGGATGCGCGCGTACTGTGTTAGCCACTGAAGGCAGACCATTTCGGGTCACCAAAGCAGGGGGCTACAAGGTCTGTTGATAGCGCCGAAGCTCCAGAACCAAAGCCCCCACCCTCAACCCAGCAAAGCTGAAGCCCGCCAAGTATTAGAACTCTGTTCTGAGTGCACCCCAAACCAACGAATCCAGCCAACAGGGACAGCACCTACCTTGCCCAGCCAAGTTATCCGACACCTCGAGGAGGGCGGTTGAAAGTGAACGCAGTGGGGTTAGCCTTCAAAAATGATACAAGCTGATCCAGGCGAACTGGATAGTCATGACAATCATGTTGGGGACATGTTCGGAATAAGTGATCACAAGTTTGAGTATGGTGGCCACACTCGCAACTGGTGGATTCAGGAATGTTGAATTGAGAATAATACTCCCCAATGGGAGCATGGTTAGTAATGGCACAAGAGACCCTTGTGAAGAGAGTCAAGTTGCCGCCTGCAGCCTGAAGCCAGGGGCCCCCTCATTTGGCCCGTGGTTCGAGTTGACCCCTGTCAAGGTTGGTGAGTGACAGAAATTGTTGCCCTAAGTATGAAGGTTGCTGGAACAACTCCTGCCAGCCTTCCCCTGGATTATCGTCCACTGCTTTGCACAGTGAGGCAAGCGAGTGCGGCATGTTAGGCCCCACCGTGACTGAGAGCTCAGTCACCATGATATGAGCTTGGTAGTGTATGCCCCATTTCAAAGAGGATGGGACATGATGAAGGGAGATGTGGCGCCAGGACCTCTGGTCCACCACTCTGTAAGGGCATGAATCACAGCCAAGGAATGAGCT